TAGTGAAGTTTGTATTATGTTCTTATACTATATCCTACTTTTGGGTTTTGAGGTTTTTTTTTTTTTTTAACTATTTTCTCATTTTATGGAGAATAAGAAAATGGTGACCTTCAGAGAAAAAGTGGTGTTGCTTGCAAGGAAAGGACCAGTATAGATAGCCTGCACACCCTAAGAAATAATATATTAACTTAAGGTAAATGTTATAACAAGGTGTTATGAGAAGTGTTAATTACATGTGCCTCTTTCTGCTTCCTTTGGTTATTAAGTATGAAAAAATTATTTCTATCTTCTGACCAAGTTGAAAATTATCTTGATTGCTATGTGACAGAGCATACCTAAGTCACAGAAATGTGGCAGACAGTAATGCTTACCAAATCTTCCACATATCTGCCTTATTTCCCAGCCGCCTTTCAGCTGGATAGAGCCATGTGGCAGAGTCTGGCCAATTTAATGTAATGGGTATTAATTTTGAGCTGAGCTCTGAAAAGTCCCTTGAGCAACCTTCCAATCATTCCTCTTCCCCTGACCTGTCAACCGAGGTGGTACAGTTGCAAGATTGTGATATCTTTCACAGCATGGAGTCCTGAGTGATTTTATGGAGCAGACCTTCCTCTGACCTATGCGAGATATATACTCTCATTTGTAAATAAACTTGCATGGTAAACCCTGGAGATTTAGAGGTGTTGTGTTACCTCAGGGAATCCTAATCTATTCTAGGTTACACAATATAATTTCATACAGTATTAAGTATTGTTGACCAAGACGAATTTTAGGATTTATACCATTTTAAATGATTAAACTATTTTAAAATTATTTTGATAGCTGCAGATCCATCTGTTACGGTTCCTTTACGATTTGTTCCTCTCAGTCCTGGATGCTACCCTTGTAAAATTCTGTTGACATCAAGGTATGATGTGCGTGCCTATTATGTTGAAGGAGTGGTGAATGAACACCATCCAGAGGCTGAATTTGAATTTGAAACACCAGCATGTCAACCGCTTACCCAGAATATTCCAATAGTATGTATAAACATTTTTGGGGTATTTTCTTCATTCCCATTGCCACTGTCTCAATTAAAGTCCTCCAAACCTCTAATCTTGAGCTATTAAAGATTTCTAATTGTATTATTTGCTGTCAATTATTTCTCCACATTGATGCCAGAGTTTCTTCCTGAATATAAATGTTATCATGTTACTCACCTGATTAATCACTTCTGCTGGATCTCTTTACTTAAAAAAATTAACTTCAATGTCCTTATCATTCGATTCCTTACTGTAAAGCTATGCCTTCCGACTTCAACCAGTAGAGTTATGTACTCTCACATCACTGTACTCCAAATTCAGTTGTGATCTAACACTTGATTAAGATGGGTTTACTGAGAACAATGATGGCTGTAGCTTCACTATCTGTTAGTCAAAGAGACAATACAGCATAGAAGAAGGTAATGTAATTGTAAGGAACTTTGGATTTTTAGAATGATAAATTGCTTTTGTTGGTTTATTTGTTTATTTATTTGTTTAATTATCAAAGACATGACAAACAAAAGTCAGCCTGGGCCAGGGCACGGTGGCTCACGCCTGTAATCCTAGCACTCTGGGATA